GTGATATTATATGTCATTTTTTTTATTAAAAATTGTTATTAAAAGTGACATGACATTTAACTTTTTATTAAAAAGTGATACAATTCACTCAAAAAAGTAATCGGGGTTTCGTCACTTTTTTTAGTGTTTGTTACTTTTTAAAAATTTCTATCACCTTTTTGAATAACAAACATAGGTTTTGATTGATGTTTTGTAACTTTTTTAAGTTCACTTTTTTAAGTTTGTATCACTTTTTTAGTTTGTCACTTTTTTCGAATTTTGTCACTTTTTTTGAGTTTGTGTCACTTTTTTTTTTTATTTTAAATGACAATTTTTATAAAAAATGACATTGTGTCACTTTTTCATTTTACACAGTATTTTTTACTTCCTAAAAACCTTTTATATGATTTTTCAAAATACCTTTAATTTTAAGGGTATTTTTGTAAGTACTTCCACAAGTTCATACGAAAACTTGTTAGTTAAGATTAATAACTTTTTATTATGTAGAACTTGTGTCGACGAAATATTGTTAGGGGTCACATAAACATATAATATTGACTACACAGGGGGACACTCCATTAAATGCAGCTTACTGAGGTGGAATTCATGCGTGCAAGCCCATGTGAAGTTTGAGGAAGGAAGGAGGATTGGAGGGTGGCTTTGTTGGATTATCATTTGCATTTAGGCTGCTTTCTTGTGTTTAGTTGTTTGATGACAAATTGTGGACAAGCATATTAATTTTTATCGGAACTAGATGCCATTGGAGCTACCAAAGAAGGCAAAACTGTGGCTGAAATAACAGAGTAATTTTTATATACTCTAGGCTTTCATCGAGGTGGCTTTGATATTGGTATATACCCTTCATTTTCTTGTAAAACTGACTGGAAGATACCAATCGTCAATATTTGAGTTCTAACTGTGGAACTGTGATTTATATTTACTAAGTTGCTTCTTTATTTCCTTGAGGGCTGCCTCTGCCTCGGGGAAAAGGAGAATCATACTTATAAATTAAAAAAAGAATGCACAAATAACACATTCAGGGGGTGTTTGGCAGTGATTTGAGAATTGATTCTCAAATCAATTATCATTTTCAACCACACATTTTTCAATAAAATAATATTTTCCATCACATCAATAATTTTTTCTTCTTTTTCAACCACACATTTCCAATCATATCACTATTNGTTTGGTAAAAATTTTCCTTTTCTACAGTAAATCAATTCTCATTTTCAACCACACATTCTTCAATAAAATAATATTTTCCATCACATCAATAATTTTTTCTTCTTTTTCAACCACACATTTCCCATCATATCACTGTTCAAAAATCAATTCTTCCCCCAAAAATCTCTACCAAACAAGCTCTCAATTTTTTAACATAGAAAATATCCCCATGCAAGAAGCAAAAATCACGGGATCCTAGTCCACCCAAAAATGATTAATGGTAATACGAGAGCTCTCTCTAATCCACACTAGAGGTTAACAAAATATTCTTGGCAAACCAAAACTAACTCATTATTTTTGGAATATGGAAACCATAGACAATATTCAATGAAGATGGCTAGATCTCACCTAATAAGACAATGCAATTCACTAGTAAACCAATGGATCTTGATTTCAACCTTATGGTTATGGACTTGAAGAAAGAAAAAGTTGTGAATGTGCAGTGTATTTATCAGCTCGATCTGATCACGAAAAGCTGACATATTGCAGTTGATGAAGACAGAGTGTGCTTGCTAAATGACTAACCCATTAACTAAAATGTGTCTATGATTAAATAATTGGCCGGCTGAAGGAATAGTCAAAGCCATACCCACTCGAAAAGGAGTTCAAGAATCCGTTTTCTTTTTATAAGGACTAAACTCACATATTTTGGCATTACGCCTTTCGTGCAGGTCAGAACTTACCTGACAGGGAATTTCGCTAATATGCTCATTATTAATGGATATCTTCTATGCAGGAGGGAAACAAAACCCAACAGAACCACAAGTCAGAACAGCAAATTAGGGCAATATAGAAGTCACTTTCCCCATAGCACAGTCCTAGTGCAGATTTTGTTTTTACCTCTTTTCGTATTGAACCAAAAAATCATTTCTTAATCAGAAAGGCACTGTTAGTCATTACATTATGCATAATTTTGAATTTGAGGGTAAATTACAAAACCATAAGATTATCAAGAAGAAATGTCCTGAGGTAAACTTTAGACTGCCATGAACTTCGCCAAATAACGTTAGTGTCGTTCTTTTGACAATTGAATTGAAGGGCATTGTAATTTTCTTTTTCAATGGTGGTATTCTTTCTAACCACTGTGCTTTGTCTGTATTATGCAAGGGATTAATAATTTGATGTTTATTTTCCAGCTAGAAAAGAGCTAGCACTGAATTATGAAAAACCAGTAAATATGAAGTCTTTTGCAGATAGTTGGCTCTAATGATTTACAATAATTGTGTACAAAATTGAAGGATGTTTCAATTCAGACTGCACACACTAACGAATTCTGATTGACAAGGCCTTGTTGGATGAGGAAAGATAATGATCAGCTAGTAGAGGTCATTTACAAAAACTTGTACCATTACATCAGGAACTACATAATAATAAATTTTGGCTCGTCTCTTGCGGCTGGAAATGATAAGATGATGAACATCTACAACTAACCATGGATATAAGCAAAGCTTTCTCAACATCTTTTGTTGCCTTATTCTGTATTAACGAAATTGCATAATCCAAAAATATAGCATCGCAAGGCAATGTGATTGGTCCATCGCTTCGTAATCCAAACTCTTCTTCTGACATTATGAGTAGCTCCCTTAATATGTAATTGTTCAGATAGGCTATGGGGAAAGCATATCGCTTTTTATCAGCTGTGTACACAATAAAATGGCCTTTCTCAGCCATAGAAGAAGAACGGTTATAGGTAGTACTAGCTTCCTCATTTTTTCTAGGGCTTGTAATTCGTTTTCTTCCAAGGGCAGCCAGCCTTTGCCACTTCCTTGCCATCTTGACGAGCTTTCTTGAACTAATCATCTTGGCTTTCGATGGGTATATGAGGAAAGGAGAATTTTTTATCTTGAAAACACTGGAATGATGCTGTGTTGAGGAAATGGTCAAGAGGTTAATTATATATATCGACTGGGCAGGGGACATTCCGATAAATGCAGCTTTCTGATGTGGGTGCAAGCCCATGTGAAGTTTGAGGAAGGAGGAGGACTGGAGGGTGGCATTGCTGGGTTATCATTTGCATTTGTTATGTTTCCTTGTGTCAAGTTGTTTGATGACAAATTGGGTCCCAGCTCATCAAAATTATCTTGGAAGTTCCTGAGATCCACAAGAAAGAATGCCTGGTAAGTAGCAAGTCATTTTCTTTTGCCGACTGAATCAATACAGATCCTTCAAAGTCAAGACCTTTGTCCCTGATTCGTTATAAATGTTAATTTGGCAGGTGAAAGACAGGGCATTTTAATCAGAACCAGTATGCCTGTGGAGCTAACAATAAGGCAGAATTTGTGGCTGAAATAGCAGAGTAATTTCTATATACTTGAGGCTTTCGCCAAGGTAGTTTAGCTAGTCGGTACATAACCCTAGAATTTCTAGTGAAACTGACTGGAAGTTAATAATTGTCATATCTGAGTATCCAACCTATCCAAGTCCGATGTTTGGAACTACAATTATTATTATTATTAATTGATTCGTTTTCATTGAGGAGCGGCATGGAGAATAGAAATTGTTTGATAAATAAAAAATATGCACAAATAACACAATCAAATTTTAAAGTAGAAAATATCTCTACAAAAGGAGTCAAAAATCATGGGATCCCAGTGCACTTTTAAAGGATGAATCTCACATCGAATAAGAATAAATATA